TATGCTCATGTATTAGATATTATTTGGGACGAAAAGAATGAAAAAGAAAATATTGCGATCGGTGTAAGATATTTTTGTAATGGTACAGTGCGTGAGGCTTTTATTGCACCAAAAGGTGAAGTCATACTTTGTGGTGGAGCTATTAATAGTCCTCAAGTAAGAATAAGAAAATTTAATAATAATGATAATGTTGCAGTAATTGTATATTCTAGTAGTAAACTGTCTTGAATTACTTTTTCTAAAGATATTGATGCTTTCTGGTATTGGACCGAAAGAAAATCTTGAAGAAAATAATATAAAAATGCGTAAAGATCTGCCAGTTGGAAGAAATTTGCGGGATCATCCAAACTGTATATTTACTGCAAAAACAAATCCAGATGAAATTCATCATTGGAGTAATGGATGTGAAATTGGGATAATACATAAAGCTAACGTTGAAGGAAAGATTCCTTGCAAAGAAGACTTTTTTGACGAGAATCCGGATATGCAGATTATTGGTATGTTTTAGTTACAATAAAACATGAATTTATATAACTACGTTTATTTACTATAGTATTATATATACAGTGACTCCATACAGAACCGGTTTTGAAAAAGAATTGTTAAATCATAAAGTCAATGGAATTATGATGGTGTCAGTTCTTAATAATCCATCAAGTGTTGGTTATCTAGAACTTAATAGTAACAATCCATTTGATAAACCAAGACTACATCTAAACTATTTCGAAAAATCTGATGATTTATATAGAATGATCAGCTCACTTAAATTATGTCGTGAAATACTTAAGCAGCCACCATTGAGTACTGTTTATAATGTTAAGGAAATTGGGATTAATGATGAATATGGACAATGGAGTACTAACGGGGATGATATTAGTGATGAGGATTGGGAAAAGTTTGTTTTGGAAAGGGTTCGTACTTTAATATTATGAATAATTGTCATTCATATAAAATATTTAATGTCATCATCATCATATTTTTCATATTTAGGCAGGTACGACGTTTCATTCAAGTGGAATAGTAAAAATGGCCCCAGAATCTAAAGATGGAGTAGTCAATCATCGACTTCAAGTTTATGGCACGAAAAATCTTAGAGTTGTTGATGCATCGATATTTCCATATATTCCAAGCGGAAACATTAATGCATCCACAGCTATGGTTGCTTGGAGAGCAAGTCGGTTAATTATTGAAGATTATATGAAAAAGGTTAAATGAATTATGGTTTTCGACTATGAAATTTTGTCGGATTAAATTTCAGTTTATTGAGTAATGTTAGATATTGCAGTATTGTGGAAGTTA